TCTTTGACTTTCTACAACTTTCTCCCATCTCCCGACTGCATCTCTGGAGCTCAGCCACAGTCATCTTTGGGTTCTTCTGTACCTCTCTCACCAAGGCTCTTCTCCCCCGATTGCTCAGTTTGGCCAGACAGCCATCTCTAGGAAGGGTTCTGGTCGTCCCAAACGTCTTGCATTTAAGGATTATGGAGGCCACTGTGCTCTTAGGAACCTTAAGTGCAACAGAAATTTTTTGTAACCTTGGCCAGATCTGTGCCTTGCCACAATTCTGTCTCTGAGCTCTTCAGGCAGTCCCTTTGACCTCATGATTCTCATTTGCTCTGACATGCACTGTGAGCTGTAGGGTCTTATAGAGACAGGTGTGTGGCTTTCCTAATCACGTCCAATCAGTATAATCAAACACAGCTGGACTCAAATGAAGGTGTAGAACCATCTCAGGGATGATCAGAAGAAATGGACAGCACCTAAGTTAAATATATGAGTGTCACAGCAAAGGGTCTGAATACTTATGACCATGTGATATTTCAGTTTTTCTTTTTTAATAAATCTGCAAAAATGTCAAAAATTCTGTTTTTCTGTCAATATGGGGTGCTGTGTGTACATTGAGGAAAAAAATGAACTTAAATGATTTTAGCATATGGCTGCAATATAACAAAGAGTGAAAAATTTAAGGGGGTCTGAATACTTTCCGTACCCACTGTATATCCATCATAGACTGATATGTTAATCTTGCCTTAATGCTTTATAAAAGAGCTTCTGTTGGTACCACCAGGAGTCATCAGTCTTAATAACATGACCACTGGAGCTTTAAAGTGACCATAACATTCAGAGTCTATTCAGTCTCCACACATTACAGCTCATGTTATTACAAGTTACAGTTCTTAAACCAAAAATAATGCAAAAAGCTAAAGGCAACAATTAAAAAGGGAGCATGATGTCATCTTTGATCACACATTAAATACAAAGTCAGAACAGCAAAAAGACAGTTGATAAACTGGAGATAAGGTCTCCAGTTTTTGGTGTATGCTTCCATATAATCTAAATCTTTTGTGTTGTAAAAACAATAGTGGTCACAGTATAGTAGGCTACTTTGGTAATTTTACTTTTGAGGTTTTGTTTTTGTCAATGCATCTCAGGTGCCATCTGTCAGATGCTATTTTCGGGAATTTTCTAATATAACAAGCAGCCGGACAAAGCAGAGGTTTGGCTATGTGAGATTAAAAAAAAGCTTGTGTGTATTATAGATACATAAAGCTAGAAACTGGACTGAAACATGGCGCCCATTCTGTGCAATTAAAGTTGCTCACCTGGTGCATTTGTCCAGGTCTTGCTCATAGACATGGCAGCATCTTAACCGTAAAAGTACATAATTACATACATACACACTGATAAGTCAGTACTCCTTCCTACTTTTATGGTTTTACCATAATCCCATTGCTCTTTCATTATTCTACTAGATATGTTGTTTCTGTTCTCACTCATCCTGTTTTCCTCATCCTTTGTGCTTGTGGCTTTCATGGGAAAGGTGTCATTACATCTGGTTCTCATGTCCTGGACATCTCATGTTTCTCCCCTGTTTACTATCCTAGAACATGCTCCAATTAACAGAGGAAAACAAAGGCCATTATTTGGACTCTGACTGGCCATTCTAAATATGGTCTAGGTAACTCTACATTCTCTGTATTTTGTACTATAGTATTCTTTTCAAGACATATAGTATTCTACTGTGCAGGGCAAATCTTAATTACAGCACAATGTACATGTGTCAAATTAATGTTTAGACCTACTTTTAATATAGAATACCACATTTACAAAAATATCACTGCATTACAGCAGTAATTTAATGTTTAAAAGATTTGTATGGCAGATTTTTGGCATTGGTCCACTTGACCAATTATATTAGAGTTTAAACTATGTATTTCACACACAAAATGTGCACACACAGATGAATATACCAAGATTTTAGCTCAGACACTCATTTTCTAAATCAAACCCTGTGCAGTGCTGGAAGGTTTTAGTGTTAAAGGGATCAGAGCACTGTATGCTGTCCTGATTAAAATCTGTCTTATTTAAATATGTGGAGGGGGTGGAAAAACTCACTGACAGCGAGTCCAACTCCTGTGCCTTAAGGGTATCTTGAGCTTTCTGAGGACAGATAGAAAAATAATAATTAAAAACAAAAACACCATCTTAATTTGTTTTCCATCAGTCCCTAGAGCGACCATCTTTGCTGCGCCTTTGGTATCTCATTATACTTTCTAATCAAGACTTCAAAAAGCCCTTCAAAGGGGACAGTCTGTTTGCCCTTCCCCCAGTGTTCTGCTTCCATTGCAGCCTTGTTACAAATGACCAAGGTAGGCTGACAGTTTGATTGTACAATGTGAAAAACTACAGACACAAAGAGCTTTTAAAAGTGACATTGCCCTGATCTTGTCCACTGCCCATTCTCACTAACGCAGATTGTTCAATACACCTAAAAAAATCCAAGGTATCCTGCAGCCTGGCTGGAACATATATCAAATCATTTTTTCCTTTCTTATCGTACATGTGAAACCTGCGTGTTTCATTCAGCTGCTCCTGTGACTGCAGCATCTGTAATGACAGAATTAGAGACAAAAATCAATGAGCACGAGGGTTGTTGAATAAGCAAATAAATTACAAATGCTGATCAAGTAGTTTTTCTTCACATCTTTAATTCAAACATGCCTTTGTGCCTTAATTACTGCTTCCAATTAGTTCACATTCATGTATAGTGTTCTCTGGCAAAAGGTGCAGCTCCTTGAATTGAAATCCATTCTGTTCCCTGAGCTCTGAAACAGAGCTGCTTGTTTCTCTTTAGAAAAGAACTGTATCATATTTTTAAAAGAGCAACATACAAAGTGCATTACAAGTGATGCTTTGTTTTATCTATAATACTGAAAAAAACTTAATTCCATCCTCCTCAAAAAAATTCCATAATAATCCATAATGAAGTTGTTCCATCAGCCCACATCACCAATATAGTTTCACACTGTTTCACACATTCTTTAGGTTTAATGGTAAAATGCTGTCCTTTCCTGTTGCCTGCTGCTGCTTCTGTGTTTGTTTAATGATCAGAAAAAAGGCAGATGTTAGTTCTTGGACAGTTGAATCCTTGAATAATTCACAGTATTTAACATGGCTGTCTTGTTGACAGGTTCTCTATCATGTGTTTGGGGATATTTAGTTCTTGCTTGACCTTAGCAGTCCACACTTACAGTATAAGCGAGACTCCCAGGGTCATTTTATTTTTTTTAACCATTTAGTTTTGAACTAAATGGTTAACCGCCACCTTATTGTGGTGGAGGGGTTTGAGTACTCGAGTGATCCTAGGAGCTATGTTGTCGGGGGCTATATGTCCCTGGTAGGGTCTCCCAAGGCAAACAGAACAGGTCCTGGGTGATGGGTCAGACTAAGAGCAGTTCAAAACCGGGCAGGGGAGGAAGCTGGACAGACTCGAAAAAATCAAAATCAAGGACCATGACATCGCCCAGTATGGCGCAACCGGGGCCCCACCCTGGAGCCAGGCCCGGGGTTGGGGCTCGAATGCAAGCGCCTGGTGGCCGGGCCTTTTCCCACGGGGCCCGGCTGGGCTTAGCCCGAATGAGTGGCATGGGGACATCCTCCCGGGGGCCCACCACCTGCAGGAGGATCCGTAAGGGGCCGGTGCACAGTGGATTGGGCAGCAGTCGAAGGCAGGGGCCCCGACAACCTGATCTCTGGACACATAGACTATACCTGGGGACATGGAATGTCACCTCGCTGGTGGGGAAGGAGCCCGAGCTTGTGCAGGAGGTTGAGAGGGACTGGCTAGATATAGTCGGGCTCGCCTCCACACACAGCTTGGGCTCTGGAACCTTACTCCTCGAGAGAGGTTGGACTCTACTACTCTGGAGTTGCCTGTGGTGAGAGGCGGCGGGCTGGTGTGGGCTTGCTCATAGCCCCCCAGCTTAGCCGCCATGTGTTGGAGTTTACCCCGGTGAACGAGCGGGTCGCTTCCCTGCGCCTTCGGGTCGGGGATAGGTCTCTCACTGCCGTTTGTGCCTACGGGCCGAATGGCAGTGTGGAGGACCCGGCCTTCTTGGAGTCCCTGGGAGGGGTGCTGGAAAAGGCCCCGACTGGGGACTCTGTTGTTCTACTGGGCGACTTCAACGCCCACGTGGGCAGCGACAGTGACACCTGGAGGGGCGTGATTGGGAGGAACGGCCCCCCCGATCTGAACC